GTGTGTGTGTGTGTGTGTGTGTGTGTGTGTGTGTGTGTGTGTGTGTGTTGTATTGAACTTGCTGTATAGAAACATTACTCACATTGTTAAAAAATAACTCAGCATTACTTTTTAAATTGGTTTCTGTTACAAAGTTTTGAATTCAAAATCAAAGGAAATAATATTTAAGCTTCAAAAACTTATTTCCTTGCTCTGCATCACATTAGGTACTGCCGCTACAGCCTCTTTCCTGCATCACACACACTTTTTTTTCTTGTAGCCCCTCCATCACCCCAGGATGTGAGGTTGACGACTCTCACTGCTCTGAGGTGTGCAGAGAGACAGGTTTAGAGAGCAGAGAGGAACACTAAATGCCAAACTCAAACTGAGTTTTACAATAAAGTGATTTCAGTATTTATATACAAGTTGACTGACCTGTATCAAACTGTTTTGCTCTCAATTATTTTTCAGATCTCAGAATGAGCGGCCTGGGTTTATTGCTGTTTCTCTCAGGGTCTATGTGTGGCTCGTTGCTTGTGAAGACAGCGATTTATGCCTCTACTGAGAACAATACGTCTTCAGGCAATTTGACCAGGAAACCTACAACTTTTCCACTTGTCACTGAGCAGAGTACCCCACCTTCACCCACATCAAAGCCCATCCAAACCACCACCACATCACCCTGGTTAAACTTAACGGAATATCCTCGAGAGATCATAATGTTTGGCGCACTGATCGCAGGCTGCACCTTTTTCTTGATGACCACCTTTCTGCTGACGTGTAAGGTGTGCAGGCTGAGCCGACGCATCAGAATGCTGAGCCGCAGCGCCCAGCTGAACAGCAACTCTGACTTCTTGGAGGCCAAGAAGGACACGAGCAAGTCGGAGGGCAAAGATGAAGAGGCCGCCGTGTTGATGTCTTACGCGACTCGAGCCAACCAGGAGCTGGACAGTGCTGCCACTGAGCAGGACGGAGGGGAGGCGGAAGAGAAGAACGAGAGCGGTTCTCTCACCAGCAAGGAGGCTTTGGCAACTGCAGTCAGTTCACAAGAAGAGCCCGCCGGCTCTGAGACCACCCCAGCAGCTGCAGCTGCCACTTCCTCCTCCGAGGGCACAGAGGAACCACAGAACCAGCCTTAAAGTTTTCTGTGCGTGAAATCAAAGTTTCACTTTTAGCTCCTTTCACCTCTCATGCAAAATATTTCCTAGCACCTTTTCATTTTTGAATAAGTGTTTCTAAGGCAGTTAAACTCTGTGCGAATGAGGAAGCTTCTCCACGATGTATTGCTCTTACTTTTGTGCCATTTTTACAATTAAAACACGACATTTTGTGTATTTCAGACTGTTTTGTTTGTCCTGAGGGGGAAAAAAAGATAAGTGCACTAAATGTAAAACTTTACAATTTGACGCTTTTTAGAAAACTGCTCAGGGAGAAAGAGAGTAAAAGGAGCTGCTTGATTAGTAAGCAGAGAATGAGCGTCTTCTAGGCAATGCCACACACTCGAAAAGAACTCCCTCTTTCTCTTCAGAGCTGACAAAGCACAAAAAACAGCTTCAAAACATTTTAAAAAGGTTCTTTGTTCCCATAGTRATGTGCAGATATTTTCACTGGAAGATCTGAGTCCGTATTTTCCRAATGACAGCCCACGGGCCAAATGTGGCCCTCAGAGGCTTTATTTCTGGCTTGTGGGGTCAGAGTTTTTCCAAATCACATTTTTCTTTTAAAGTTCTTAGAATTTTATGTTCTGAAAAATCAAAGACTGCCATTGGTTGAACAGAGAGTGACATCACATTTAGTAAATAGTAGTATACTTGACTTACAATAACAAAAACAAAAATAACACATTATGCCTCCTATTAAACACAAATATTA